AGCCCCTCTAGAGTGTGTCGGGCTGAGCCCCCCAGTGTAGCTCAGTGGCTCTTGCAACTAGGGAGTTGCTGCTTATCCTGTTGAAGGCTCTCCTCCATTTTACGAAAGGGTCAGGACCGTTTTCCTGGAGGTTAAAACGTAGGATTACGTGGTCACTCCTGCTGGTAGTCCCATAAACGAACTGTCGGAGGGATGACAGTAGTTGCTAATCCTCCACCTGGGATGCTGAGGGGCTACGGTACACGCAGCCTGCCACCTGAATGTTGGGGGTGTTTGAAGGGGCGACTGTTTTCGTTTGGAGTCGCTCGCTAGTCATAAGCAGTGCCCCCCCTCCTATGCGATTGTCTTCCCTATCGGTTCTGAAGACACTAAAACCTTTTGGTTTTAACGACTCGATATCCTCATTCGGTCGGAACCAGGTTTCAGTTACCGCTATGCAGTCAGAGTGAATACTCTCCGACGTTAATTCACCCCATTTGTTCCCCCAGGCTGCATGCGTTTGTNTTCCCCAGGCTGCAGGCGTTTGTGCTGAACACCCTCAGACCTGATCTATGTCTAGTGATGGGAACCTTGGGGTGGGACTCAGGCTTTAAACCCGAGTCCTCCCTCCGTTTTTTGCATCGGAAGGTTTGCAGGGGATGCCAGGCGTTTCTAACCTGGGCTTGCGATTGAGGGTGGGAGGCTGTGGGTTGACTAGGATGCTCAACCCGGGTCGACTGGTGGGTGATGTTACTGCAGTGGCTGTTCCCTTATTTATCACCTTGTGAAGCCTTAGGAGGGGCAGTTTCGAGGGCGTTACGGTCGGCAGCTGTTTGTCTGTTCGGCCCTTGCTAGCGTTGTCAGGCTCTACAGTAATAACCCGTTTGGTCTCTGCCCTAAGTAGAGCAGAGGCTGCTAGAAAAGAGTCTCTGTGTCGAGGGTTGCTGAACTCGACAAGCACAGGCCTCCCCTTGTTACTTTTCGGAGACCATTTTCCTAGCCGTAGGACCCGCTTGATGGATGCGTGGGGTGGAGTTTCTGTTAGTCTGAGGAGGGAGGTAACGTGATGCCTTATTAACGCTTCTCTCCGCTTAGCAACCCTACAAAAGGGCTCCGCTATGCCCTTGATGATCACATTCCTGTGCCTCCCGAGGGCGATGTCGGTGTTCCCTTCGAGAATCATTATGCTTTTGGAGTTTGATACCGCTAGCTTGGTCACTCTGGCTAGTTCGGTGGCTTGGATGGCTAGTGTGTCGGTGACCACTTTCATTTGACTTGTCAGGTTGTTTCTGATACTTACTACGTCCAAGCTGTCGGTGGTGTTCTTAACGCCTTTTCTTGTCCTAGTCGTGACATCCAGTGAGGGTTTATTGAGAGCCTCTGGGAGCTTTACTTCTTGGGTAGAGGCTTGTCCCGCCCCTGTCTGTGGAGTGCCACCAATCAGCTTAAGTGGTTTCGATGCAGGAGTCATCGGTTTCGGTGGAGTGCCGGGCCCCGCAGCCTTTCCCTTGGCCGCCTGTGTTAGAATATTAGTGCACACATAGCACACCCATTTCAGGCATTTGTGCTCAGCGTAGAGGCCGTAGGTCTTGATAGTGAGTTTACTGCACTTGCGGTGATACCATGTATCACAACAGTCACAGCAGATGCCCTCGCATACGCTAACTAGGCAGCCTGTTCTCCCACAGGGAAATACCCTGCCCTCGGTATTAGAGCTAGCCTTAGTGGCTGGAGAGCGTTTTTTCCTTATAGCTCTAGTGGTCATTTGAAGATAGCCTACTGCGTCCGGGTGGTAAGAGCAAGGATTTTAATAGATTAAGGGAGACTTAAGCTGGCGAACTATGGCTTAGTGTAAAAAAAAAAACAAAATATATATATATATATACTAGATGAGATGAAAGAGGCTTATTGTAAGCGAAAAGTAGGTGAAGTGGGGTAAATGACTAAAAAAGTATGAATGGGAAATAGCATGCACTGGTTAGGAACATTAACCGCGAGCCAAAGTTAACACGGACGCTGGACTCACCGTGTTTCCTCACAGAAAGCGGCCACTAACGCCTAGGCTCCCCTTAGTAGCACCCTGAGCTGACCCTTAGGCGAGTACCGGTCGGTTTCGTCTGGACCTGGATCCACCGT